AAAAAAAAAAAAGAAAATAAGGAAAAAAACTTTGACAGTTATGCCAACAAAAAAAAAATTTGTGGTTGAAAAGCTATCAAATGTAAGAATAATTATATCAATCAAAAGAAAAAAAAAAGTTAGCAAAAACAAGTGGGATAAAAAACGTTAAAAAAAAGAAAGAAAGAAAGAAAGCGATGAAAAACCGAATAATAAACAAATGAGAAAGAAAAAAAACAAACAAATATCCCAAACTGTTGTTTTCCTTCTCCCAAAATTTTCCTTTTTTTTTCCTCAGTGTTCTCTCCACTGTTTTGTGGGTGTCTTAAAAAAACCTTACAAACAAAGATATCAAATTCTGCTCCACTGTTTTTTTTTTTTTTCTGGCTGTTTTGTTTTGCCTTTCACTGTTTAGTTTTAAATCTTACTTTTTAAATAATCAACATTTTTTGCAAGCAGATAAACATATTTATGTTGAATATCTAAAAGGCGAAAAAGCAGAAGAAAAAGAAGGTGAAGAAGAAGGAAGAAAAAAAGAAATTCTTTCAACTAAAAAAAATTTCTTTTTTTTTCTTCCATTTTTGAAACATGTAAAAAGAAAATCATCATCAAAAATCATCATCTCCATCATCATCGTCAGCGTAAAAATTGTTCAAAATATCATATTATGTTGAAACAATTGCAATCAGGTAAAAATGGAACAAATTATGGAATGCATTATAAACGGTATAACCCAAATAATCACCAGCTGTACCAAAGTATACCAATACTGATAGGTAACAAAAACAATGATAAAAATGATTAAAAGTAATGACAACAACAGCAATAGCTAAGCCTAAATAAAGCAAATATTGAAGAGAAAAGAAAAATGTGTATAAATAAATATTTGTGGATTAAAGAACCCAATATAAGCAAGAAAAAAAAACAGTACAATTAGGTAAAGGCTTAGTCTGCGTTGTTACAGTAAAGCATAACGAACGCCCACCAAATGCAATACTTTCTTATCAGTTTAGCGCTGCTTCTATAATTAAAATCTACACTAAAAGTTAGCAACAACAACAAAAAAAAAAACAGTAACAAAGATAAAAATTAAAAAGCAAAAAAAATAAATTTTTATTTTTTTGATCAAATTTCAATCTATTGGAGTTAAAGAAGGTAAGAGAAACACAAATAATGGAATGCTAACGAAATAAAAGTTACTGAAATTGTCAGTTAAACTGAAAAAAAAAATAATCTACAGAAGGATTTGACGGATAACGGAAACTATTTCTTTTCTTTTTTTAGTGTACGGTTTCATATATTTAACAGTTACATAGTTATCTAACGTTATAGATTCTTTCTAATTTATTTTAAGTTAACTAGACTACGTCGATTCGGAACTGCAATAGCACCATCGATTCTATGGTAACATACAGAATCCATTTGTTTTGGATCCATCTGTTTGCCATCAAAGAATCCACAACTGATTTTTGTGAATGCTTAAAACTAAACTGAGAATACCGTTTGAAAGCGACAGTAGACAATAACAAGGTGAAAAAAAAATAGATGTAAAATTGTTGGCAGAAAAAAAACAGAAGTATAAACTGATAAAACACTAAAAAAAGAGTAACAGAAAAATTAAGGTCTAAAAAAGGTGTAGAAAAAAAAAAAAAGATCAACTAAAAAGCTGCTAAAGAAAATAAGCGTTTGGTGGCAAACAGTAATTACAAATGCATACAGCAATTAACAGACATTTCACATAAACGTATATATATAAAAAAA